TAATGATCAGGTTGACGATATGCTCCGACGCGATGTTATTCGGCCCTCGGACAGTCCATGGGCGTCTCCTGTTGTTCTTGTTGCGAAGAAAGACGGTTCTGTGCGGTTCTGTGTGGACTACAGACGGCTCAATAAGATCACTCGCAAGGATGTTTATCCACTGCCACGCATCGATGACGCGATTGACAGCCTTCATGGAGCCGATTTTTTTTCTTCTCTCGATCTGCGCTCGGGGTACTGGCAAGTACCCTTGGCTGACGACGCTCGACCAAAGACCGCCTTCATCACGCCAGACGGCTTGTACGAGTTCAACATCATGCCGTTTGGTCTATGTAATGCACCTGCGACCTTTGAGCGCATGATGGACACCGTTCTGCGCAACTTGAAATGGTACACATGCTTGTGTTACCTCGACGATGTCATTGTCTTTGCTCCGGATTTCTCCACGCATCTCCAACGTCTGAAAGAAGTTTTCGCACGTGTGAGCAATGCCGGCTTGCAACTAAATCTGAAAAAGTGCCGCTTTGCAGCACGGCAACTCATCATACTGGGGTACGTCGTGTCCAAAGACGGCATTCTTCCTGATCCTGCCAAGCTTCAGGCCGTGGCCGAATTCCCCAAACCTGCATCTGTCAAAGAACTGCGTAGTTTCGTGGGCCTGTGCTCCTACTTCCGACGCTTCATACGGAATTTTGCCACGATCATATCACCGCTGACGAAGCTCCTTGGAAGTAACGGGCCCTTCAATTCATGGTCATCCGAGTGCGACGACGCGTTCGCGAAGCTCCGCCATTTGTTGACGTCGCCTCCCATTCTACGCCACTACGACCCTACAGCCCCAACGGAGGTGCACACAGACGCCAGCGGCGTAGGCCTCGGCGCTGTCCTGGCGCAGCGAAAACCCGGATTCCCTGAATATGTCGTAGCATATGCAAGCCGTACGCTCACGAGAGCCGAGAAAAACTACACCGTCACGGAGAAAGAGTGCCTGGCGATCGTCTGGGCTCTTACAAAGTTTCGACCTTATTTGTATGGTCGCCCATTCGATGTCGTCACCGACCATCATGCACTATGCTGGCTTTCTTCATTGAAGGATCCCTCAGGCCGTCTCGCCCGTTGGGCTCTTCGCTTACAAGACTACGACATCCGCGTGCTGTACCGCAACGGACGCCAGCATGCTGACGCCGACGCCCTCTCGCGCTCCCCTCTGCCTGAAGGTGATGTGCTCTGCTCAGTATCCACGGCTGCTGTTTCTGCCATTGATGTTGACATCATCGCTACTGAACAGCGAAAGGATAATTGGATCGGCACGCTCATCGACATGCTCTCTGATCCATCCGCAACGCCATCCACGCGTGCCTTGCGTCGTCAAGCTCGCCATTTCACCATCCGTGACGGCCTTCTACACCGACGCAATTACGACGCCGACGGCCGGCAGTGGTTACTCGTGATACCCCGCAGTCTGCGGTCAGAAATATGTGAATCCTTCCATTCAGATCCGCAATGCGCGCACTCTGGGGTATTCAAGACCTACCATCGCATTCGACAACGCTACTTTTGGCGCGGCATGTACCGCTATGTGCAGCAGTTCGTTCGCTCTTGCCTCACTTGCCAACGCCGTAAACCGTCAGTCCTCATGTCGCACGCCGGTCTGCAACCGTTACCTTGCCCTGACCGTCCCTTTGGGCGCGTAGGTATCGATTTGTACGGACCACTTCCTCTGACGTCGGCTGGTAACCGCTGGGCCATCGTTGCCGTTGATCATTTAACGCGATACGCCGAAACCGCCGCTCTCCCTGCGGCTACTGCGCGCGATGTTGCGTCCTTCCTGCTGCATCGATTTATACTGCGCCACGGACCACCCCAAGAGCTTCTCAGCGATCGAGGCCGTGTCTTCTTGTCGGAAGTCGTCGAAGCCATTCTGACGGAGTGCCATTCTGTCCACCGCAAAACTACTGCTTACCACCCACAGACGAATGGCCTGCTTACCACCCACCTACTGCTTACCACCCACAGAGACGAATGGCCTGCTTACCACCTACTGCTTACCACCCACAGAGAATGAGTGCATGACGTAGGCGTAGGAATGGCCCTACGTACCCGGCAATGCAATGACGTTGGTCCTCTGCGTAGACGAGTCTGCTCTGACGTTGTCAACAGTATATCACGTGACATGGCAAAAAATATTTAACACAACATGCGTAGTTTATGTATTTGTTGCTTTAAGAGAATAATAAAACATGAAATAAATAATGAGACGCAATAAAAATTATGCGCACTTTTCTTTTATTTTTTCCCGCAAAATGCTACGAGCTGCGAGGCTAATGTGCCACCGTTTCGCATGCGTTCGTATCTCCGCGGTCAGTGCATTGAGCAGACTGCTGTGGAACGCTCCTACGCGTTGGTGCACTCATTGTGCTCATCTACTCTACCGCATCTAAGCTAGCGTTTCCAAACCATCCCGAAGAAACAGGCAGAAGACCACAAAATAACGCTGGTCAACAAAGCAATGCTGCTCGCGTTCTCGGGGGTTGGACTTCTTTGGGGACGTCATGCGCACGTCGCCTCATGGTCGGGAGTTCGAGAGGGTCGGGAAGAGATTTGGCTTGCGAAGGCTACACGGAGGAGCGGCAAGGGTTTCGAGTTCGCCTCCTGTCATCCTCGTATTGCGCCGCATCAAAAAACCTGTTTTCTCTGCTCGTGATGAACAGATTCGAAAAATTTTTGTGGCAAAATGTCCCTCATAGGACACCCAATTACTTCCACTATCTAACTAAAATTCGGTATGGGGCCTGGTGAGTGGCCCTTTAAGAAATACAGTCGTTTATAGCTTGTAACACAAATCTGCGAACTCTAGGAAATCTTGTCCTCACGTTTGGATTCTTTTTGTTGTCGGTGATTTTTTTTATTTTCTGAAGGTATATACAGCTCCTACAGCTGTCTCCTTTTAAAGGAGTACTGACATGATTTTGAAGCTTCCCAAGAGACATGATTTTCATTTTTGTGATATGCACTATCCGTGCTCTCCACACACAGGAGTCCGACAACATGAATGGAATGGAATGAAAAAACATGAACAAAAAAGAATTTACTTGATTTTAAACTTTCCATAACCCAGCATCTGCAGGGTTGGATGCCAGCCACAACAGTCAAATTTCGCCGGAGGTGAAATGGTAAAGGCCCATGCACTGTGCGATGTCAGTGCATGTTAAAAGAACACCAGTTACTAGAAATTTCCGTAGTCTCTACCTGGGTGTCTCTCATAATCATGTCATGGTTTTGGGAAGTAAAACCCCAGATATTATGTTATTACCCAACATGTGCTAGCCATGCCTACCGCTATGGACGTTATGACGAGAGCAGTCAGTTCACTGTGTTTGTAATGTCTGCATCCTGCATGAGTTGGCAGTAATCACTGTCGGGATCACTTGACGGCAATTCACCCATTGTTGTTTGGGTACCACATGTGACTGACGCCAAATCGCAGACCTGGTGCTAGTGTTTTGCAAATTGGTCTTCCTGTGATGTTAGTCTTTTGCTGCCACGTCACTATGAAGCCACTCCTTTGATAGCGGAGCTGTAATTGCTTAAGGTAGCGGTGTTAAATATACATTCAAGCCATCCCTGTGCGAATATTGAAATTCAGGTCGGTACGCCTTCCGCTATTCATTCGAATGCAAAGCTTTGTATGCTTATACAAGAATTGAGCTTAGTTGTTCAAAATCTTACATGCAAGCTTTCTGTTTATAATAATTCACCTGATGACAAAAACTTCTTGGCAAAGCGAATAATATGAAGTTAACATGTGAAATAATAGTGAAAAAAGCTGTTGTGTTAAGAAAACATGTTTTGCATCCTCTTTAGTTCATTTTTGATGCTATTCAATTCGTATTTCGTTAAACTTAAACAATTGTCATTTTCGCATTGATATGTATAAGCTCTGAATGCCCCTCTCCTTCCTATCAATTTGAGAATAAATTGAAGAAGCTATTTGTATGCATGGATTGCATTCTTTAGCAAAATTGGTGTTTTAACTACAATTTCTTGTTTATGGCACAGCGCAACATTGATTTTCGGTAGGAAGGTGAAATGTTAACATTGGTTGCCCTAACGAGATATTGGCTTGTTATGGTGATCAAGTGCTCACTTTGGGTGACCGTATTGTGATGTGAGCAGTGGTTGTATCTGCGGTGATTGAAGTCAGATTGATTCCAGATCGGCCTTCGCTCCATGATTATATCGATAGCAGTTATATGAATAATTTTTTTTTGCTGATAGCAGTTATATAAATAATTTTTTTTGCTGTCACCGTGAAGTTCCGGATATGTGTATTTATATATGTAAAAAAAGGCATTAAAAATTGATAGACAATTATCCCAAAGCAATATACCAGGGATTTGAACTAGTAACCCCCTCATTCCGCAGGCTCCTGCACTAGCCAACACAGCCACTCTCCATGCTTGTGCTGGTGATATAAAGGCGGACTATTCATATGTACCAATTACCACTCACAGTACGCAGATCTTGGAACAGTGTATTTTCAACCACCAGCGCTTTTACATCTTTCAAATTAAAAACTGCCCTTGAGATGTGCAAGAAAAAGTGGTCGGTCTCCTTCTATAACACTCATCATATAAAAAAAAGGAAAAAAAAAGTACAAGGGGCACACAAGGCATCAGACGCCACCACATGGCAGCAAAGGAGTCATTCCACGTGCCGCAGTTTTAAGGAATAAAAAAGGAAAGTCAGACAGCGTAGGGTTCTGCATTGTGGAGATTTCCAGCGTGTTCGTCAAATACGAATGCGTAACAGCTGACAGTTGTTAGTTCACACTTGTCCTGTGTGTACTTCTGCATTTTTTTCGAGCGTTCATGTGATATTGTAATTTCTTGCTATTGCAGTCATTGCTTCGCCTTAGTGGCGAAACTGAGTTTTTTATCATGGAACCGATTTTTTTAGTGTTGCTTTAGAAGTCTTAATGCAACTTTTTTCTTTTCCAGGCTTCATGATGAAATTGAAGAATTCTACAGGTACATGCAGCCGACTCCAGCTGAGCATCAGATGCGGTTGGGGGTAATCCAACGGATAAAAGATGTTATCCTTGGTCTGTGGCCACAAGCAGAGGTGCCTTTTCAGCTTTATCTTTCTACATTTCTTTTTCCATGAGTTCTTGAATAGCAAGGTACAGTGTTTTATTGATTACCTGAAGTATACCTACACATCCAGTGTCAGTATTAATTACATTTACTTGATGTTTAATGCTAGTGCTGATAGTAAATACCCTGGCAATATGCTGCCTTAGAGTGATGAAAAATCATCTGAAATGTGCAAATAGACTATCAATTTTTTTGACAGGTTGGTTAGTTTAGTTGGCATGGATTTTAAAAGTGTATGGATTCGAAGTTGTTGGTTCAGCTTCATCTGTACTAAATAGTGCGAAAAGCGAGAAAACGAAAATAACCATATTTAGCACTCTTTCCTGTGTGTTTCTTTGTCTCCTGGTTTCTCGCGCTGTTTAGCATAGCTGGTATGAATGCATTAGTGGAAACTGCATGACATGATGGTACCATAGTGGAAGGGGGTACTGATGAGTGCAGGGAGAAGCATTAATCTGAGGGAGAGGGAGCACAAGCAATTTTACCAAATCCTCTAGATTGCATTTTCCAGTGCAATATTGAGGCAGGAAGCAAGAATGTTTATAAGGGCTTTGAGTGAAGCAGACAAGGGTGCATTAGCTTTTTTTTTTTTCATTGGGCTGTGTGAAAAGGAGCATGCTCATTGATACTGTGTGTAGCCAGAATACTTGAAACAACCCCGTTGATTGCATGTGTCCACGCCAGCACAGAACACGAGATTTATCACCATTGCAGTCTTAAATAAGTGAACGCCATGTGTGTGGTCGATTTTCTCAAAGTACTATTAAGGGCACTGCGATTCAACAGTGCATAATAAGTCATGGTTTTGTGATATTTTGTAGGCCTTATTTTAACAAAATAATTTCTATGCTGCGTGTACGCTGTCGCGAACAGAAAATTGTTTGTTGTATCAGAATTCCCTCTGCAACATAACCAAACACATTCGGCATTAAAGTGAACATGAACTTCTCGAGCAGATAATTAAAAAAATGCTTAAAGAAAAAGAAGCACCACATCACGAAAATCGCATGTTGCAGGTTTCATTCAGCTTTGGTTAACATTTTTAGATTCTTCGTTCAAGTTACTAGAAACATCATGCATATGTGCCAAAATAATTACTAGTAGCTGTTATCAAACTTCATAAATACAAACACAAAAGTTTTGGCATTACTTATTGAAGCCATATGGTTGAATCAATAAAATAAAAGTAGTAGGCTTAGTCATCGAAGACATGCGCATTGTGACTAATGCATTTAACATCTATTTCCAATCCGTCTTAACGCGCTCGGTTATTGCATTGGTGCACATGCCAGTAACTGACAATCGGAAGGGTGACTTCGAGATAACAGAACCAGGTATTCTAAACTTGCTTTTCTATATAGACACCAAGAAATCGCCAGGGCCAGATATACTGAATGTTTTTGAAATGATACGCACAGCAACTTTCTCCTTCTTTTTGCCGATATTTTTGAAATCGAAGCGTACAGCTTCTGTACTCTTCGATTCGAAAGAGTTAAGAGCCACTAGGCAATGCCACAGTGTCTACCTACCTGAAAACCTGGAAAAGTCAGGGAATTCATACCCTTTTGGAAAAGTCGGGGAAAATTCTGGGAATGTCGGAAAAAATCTGGCCTGGTCATAGAAACTGATGCCTGTCTGTGTGTCGGTCACAAAAATAAACATTATTATTGATCAAAGCTTAAAAAGCCACTCCTTTGGCTACAACTACAGTGTACATCAAGAAGATGCATGAAAAAGTAGAAAGCAGTGCGTAACTGTTGCTTTTTAGAGTAGACGCAAAAGGATACACATACCAAAGGAATGCCAAGTTAACTGATGTTTTGGCACCCGCTACGAGAGCCTTGTTCACTATAATAGCCATAAGAAAGGCACAGGGTGTTTAAGTACGCCTAAGTACGGGACGTAAGCACCAGGACTACATCGTCGAAAGCGTCCCATTACTCCTGTTCAGAGCTGCAGTTGTCTGCTGGTATTCCAGGTGCAGGCAGATTCAAGCTTTCCTTTAGCAGAACACGCTCACTTGACCAGTCAGTTTAGTGACCTTTAGATTCCATGTGTTTAGCGAAGGCATACGAGGTCACACATTGTTTCCTGGCGTCATTATATGTTTAACTCTTTTCTTGAGATCGGTGGTTTCACCGATGTACTGGTTGTCACAATTGTGGCAGCCTAAAGCATAAGAATTTGGAAATTTTCGCTTGGCAACTTGTTCTTCACATTGTCTAAAACATCCCTTAGCTCCCATGTTGGTGCATTCACTATTTTGATGTCTCTTGCTTCTACATATCGCATAGCATATGACTTTCCAACCACAACAGTACACTTGTCGTTAATTTGTGCATGTTTGTCTTGACCGTGATTTCGGCTCTGCTTGAAGGCCTTCTGGCTCAGATAGATTTGCCATTAGCGAAGGCTTGCCTAGCTATGTGATGCATTTTATTATTATTACTATCATTATTACTATTGGCGATACAATTGCAAACATCCTCAGCTACGCAGTTATTGCTAGTAGCTTGCATAGGGTAGAGTTGAGTAACTTGATCTAAATTTCTCGTTTCAGTTTCTTGAGCTGGTATTATTAAATCTGTGATTAGTTTCTGGCATTATGTTCATAAAAGAGTACACAAACGAAGGTAACCCGCCCGCATCTGTGATAAATCTGTGGAATCAAGGGAGCTGTTGCGACCAGACAGATTCCTTCTTGCCAGCACATATTTGAACGCTATCGCTTTAAACGCTACTCGTAGCTTTCAGTGCAGGCATCTGAGGACTTTGTCGAACTCTTAAGTGTCAGAGCCCAGAGAAATAAAGCATCAACATGCGTGTGCTCGTCATAGAAAGAAAAAAAAAAAAGAAAGGTATGTGGTGTGGCTCCGTTCTTTCAACGTTGTTAGTATTGTCAACGTGTGGTGCACAAATCACACGAGTAGTATATAGCTTTTTTTTGCTGAAAAGTATATATTAGAAGTGTACAACTTAAGTGGGGATGCAAATCAATACTAAATACAGCAATTTACGTCGCATCAGATCCAATCCAATCCACATGCCATGTGGCCTGGGCTGTAACCATTATAGTGAACTAGAATATGCTTCAGTGGGGGAACCAGCCGGGCTCGGGCGTCCTCCTTTTACTCCGATGTCACGAGATGGTGCCACTTCCTAGCAGTTTTGGCTGCGTTGTAGGACTATCATGGACTCCTTCAAACTTACTGCTGCAGTTAATTTTAACTCTTGTGTTTGCATTCTGCCAAACAGCCAACTTGCCAACTCTCTGGCCTGGAGGTATCATTTTGGCCAAATATACGTATATTTTCATATTTAACACATGCGCTCGGAACACTCGGAGCACGTGCGGTATTTACTTATTCTATAGGATTGCCTGAGAAACGATCTCAAGTGTGCCTGCAGAAAATAAGACATGCTTTACTACCACACAGTGTTGATGCATGGGCAGCATATTGCATGCTCTTCGTGACGCTAGCGCGTCATGGTTTACCCATTCTTTCTGGGAATGTAAAGAAGCGAGTGAAGGGCAGTCTGGCAGAATTCGCAATGTAGGGGAACCTCCGAATGCCGGTTGCTACAGCGATTTGCGTACTGGCACTGCTGGCGAAGTTCTTGCCTGCTACGCCTTACTTTGAAAACACTGTTTGAAAGCTTTAATGATCACCCTTTTCAGCCAGAACATCACTGCTTTATCTCATTGTTCATTAATAAATTCTTTATTTTACTAGAAAAAATGAGTGAATGGTCGCATCATGACGTGCTGATGCAGCGAGGAGCAGGCGACATGCTGCCCGCGTATCATCACTGTATTGCAGTGAAGATGTCTTATTTTTCGCAGGCATGGATTTCAGTTCATCACAATAACATTTTTGCAATTGCGGCTGCGAGGCTCGACGTTCCCCCCCTCACCTTTTTATTTTGTGACAAAACTGTGACTGTATTGCTGGAAAACACAACCCTTAGAGCCACAAACTAGCCAGTACAGCAAACGAGCCCTGATTATACTTCGAAAAATTTCAAGTTCTTTGCATCCCACTTTTTGTTTATTCTGTTAATTCGAAAACCCACTTAATTTGAAGATACACCACAATCCCTGTGACTTCGAATTGATGGGGTTTTACTGTATATTGGGGAGTCGCCACAATAAGAAAATTCGGATTGTAGACATCATCGTTACTAGTGCATTGTCGCTCAGGATGGTATGTGTGAATGTATCGCGCCGAACACTAGTGTTGATGTTGCAGGACACTAAATTATTCAATGAGTTTTCATACGCTGTTTGCCGTCGGAATTAAATAACTTCCACGCTACGAATGCTTAAATTTGGCCAAGACTTATGTATACCGAGCAATTGAATCAAGGACACTTCTTTATTTTGAAATTTAATGTCAGTGCCCCTTCAGTTTAAAAAGGGGCATTGTATTGGTATCCTGCTTAGCTGAATAATTTGTGGCATAATGGGCTAGGCTCACTAGCTTACTAAAGGCAACTTGTTTGACTTGTTTGGTCCAACCATCTAGTATTTAACCATCTCATGCACTGTCTATGCTGTTTTGTTTTTTTTTACCTTCTCCTTTGACTAGCCCTTCCGCCACGGTGGTATAGTGGCTTAGGTGCTCGGCTGCTGACCCGCAGGTCGTGAGATCAAATCCCTCTGGCGGTGGCTGTATTTTCGATGGAGTCGAAAATGCTGTAGGCTTGTGTGCTCAGATTTCGGTGCACGTTAAAAAACCCCAGATGATGGAAATTTTCGGAGCCCTCCACTATAGTGTCTCTCATAATCATATGGCGGTTTTGGGACATTAAACCACATGTCAATCAATCCTTTGACTAGCCAAAATTTGATTCATTGGACCAGAAGCCTGCATATGATCAAAATGAGTAAGAACCTTGCTTCGAAAAAACTGAGTGAGATTGGTCCAATGATTAGATTATGAAATTATGAAGTTTACACCAGCATCAAAGCCTAGAATTGACACATCATTTATATTTTTTTTTCTTAAGGCTGACAATTTGCACCCATTGTTACCCCAGAGAGACATTAGAGCCTTAACTGTAATTTAATTTCTTAGTCTTTCGTATCTGTTGAAAGTCCTCCCATTCATCCTTGCTAGTATACTATTCCTTGGTGAATTTTTTTGGTAGAGCTTTCATGATTCTCAAATCTGGATCCTAGAAAAACTTTTCATTTTGTTTTAGTATGAAACATTTTCTTGATCTGTTGTCATAGTTTCTCTTATTTGTTTGGAAGCCCAATCTTCTTTTTATTACCTTCAGCATGAGGGTTCTCAAATCATTTATATATTCTGTTGTTAATGCCTCAATACCATGAGCCAATCATCTTAGTTGCTCCCAATTTTGCTCTCACATCACTGTCTCCTAAATTAGTTTCTGAGTGCAAATTTTGTGTACAAATTAAATATTCAGGGAGCAAAAAGCTTTGTCTGGAAACTTGACACATCTTCAAACATACCCATGGTTTTTGGCCATGCAAGCCAGTCTTGCTGTAAAGCCTTGCATGTTTTATACGGGTCGAAATGTAGTGTAGTTAGTTACATCAAGATGCAGTCTACGTTATTCTGTATACGCACTCTTGCAAGCAAGCACACCACTCTTTAGCTTGCTTGTGCAATTGGCTAGATTGTGTCCAAGCTTGGGTGCCTGGAGAGTGCTCATCTGGAAACTATTCCCTAATAATTGCCTCTAAGTTTGTAAAGTTAAATTGGGCTACTAAATAACTATGTTTATACAAGTCAGTGTGCATTTAATTTTGAATTACTTAGTCATTTTTACATGGTAAATTTAAAGTTGAACGTAAAGTATTTGGAATTCACACTGTAGGAAAAGCTGACCTGTGCTGAACAGTTTGCATATTGAATAATGGTGCTTATTGATGATCCAAGATTAGGTTAACATGTGGTGCTTTTTTCAGGTGGAGGTTTTTGGGAGCTTTCGGACAGGCCTGTACCTTCCAACCAGGTAATCAAAGCATTTTTAGTGTGAGGAACCTGGCTTGTTTTTTTTTTTTTTAATATGCATAAGTAAATTTGTGCTAAGAGAATGTAGACATGTGCTCTGAATATTTTGTTGAAGGGTCCCCAGAACACACTTCACAAGCCATCATTTTTAATAATGCTAGTGTAGATTGTTGCAGGGATAAATGCAATAATGGTGACAATTTGGGCACAAAAAATAGTTATCCAGCCTGGAAGATTGGAAAAATGAAAGAAAAAGTATGTGCCTGCACACTTAACATGAATTTTAGATGGCCACCTGTCTCCACTTATCACTAATGTAGTCCCTCAGTACCAACGGTAAGAGTTTGAGTACCTTCATAACAAGAAATTGTGCAGTGGCACCCCAACAGAAAAAATGCAGCAACTACCGTATTATCTCGCATAATCCTCGCACTTTTTTTGACGCAAAACCGATGCAAAGTTGGGGGGTGCGAGAATGCGGAGAAAACTTTCCACGAAAACGTACAGAACGAAAAAGAAAACAATGTGGCCGCAAATCTGGATTCTCGCACCAGAAACTAACAGCAAGCTTTGAGAAGTACTATTTAAGGCTTAACTCAACAGTAAAAGCACAGGTTCAACACAAGGCAAGATTTATTTGAGACACAAAGTGCAAGCAAATAGTCGAGAATTGGAATACCATACGCAAAGCTTGTGGGCGTAGCGGCAGCATATGTCGCTCAACAGGAGCCCTCAAAGAGCCCTCAGGAGCCCTCAAAGGACATCAGTATTGGGCTGATGGCTATTTAACAGAATCATCCGCAGTTTCCTTCTGAAGAAATAAAGTTTATCATCAATCTCAGTTTTAGGCACACGGCAGGCCCAACGCGTCTTGGTGGCTTTCAGCTGCCGTCACCAGTAGCGAACACAAAACTCGTAGACTCCGAAGGGCCTACCGGCGGTCCTGTTGCCGTTGCTTAGTGCATGATCTATCACTTTCAACTTGAAAGCAGCCGTGTAGCTTCATTATCATCCCATAACGTGACAAGATTACCGACACAACATACAAAACATGCTGCAACGCGCATTTGCCACTTTGGCTTTGCTTGGATTGGATTGAATCTCCGGGCAATAATAGTACGCTTAATGCTGAAGAGATCGGGCCAGATGGCGCGCGCTATAGTCATCAGTGCCTGGAACGAGCAGACATTATTGAGGCAGTTTTCGGGGTTGCGATAATTACTTGAGAAAAAAATGCATCTTATTTTTGTTGGGCGATGGGGGGGGGGGGGGGGGGGGGGAAGGGGAGGTGAGAATTGTGGGAGGATTACGCGAGTAAATACGGTACAGTCTACTCACAGGCATGCTTGTGAGAATTGAAGCTTTAGCATTGATATACTAGCTTGTGCATTTAGAGCAATGCTCAAAGGCTGAGGTGAAAAAAGTGGCACTGTTGGCAGTGGTGTGGTGGTTCTCTCGCATTTTTAAGGTATTTTCATCTTTATGTTTAAATCTGATTTAAAGGGCCACTCACTAGACCCCATACCAAATTTTAGTTAGACCTTGAAACCTTGGAAGTCGTTGGGTGTCTGATGAGGAATATTCTGCCACAAAAATTTTTTGAATGTGTTCATTATGAGCTGAGAAAACTGTTTTATTGAAGCGGCGCAAAACGAGAATGAGAGGCGACCTCGACACCCTTTCCACTCCTCTGCATAGCCTTCGCAAGCCAAACCTCTTCCCTACCCTCTCCGGCATCCGACCGAGAGGTCACGTGCTCGTGACGTGATCGAACAAGCCCAACCCTCGTGCACTCAAGCGGCATTTTTTTTTTTTCTTTTTTGGAACAGCATTGTTTTGAGGTCTACTGCATGTTTCTGCGGGACGGTTTGGAAACGCTGGCTTAGACGCAGTAGAATAGGTGAGCACAATGAGTGCGCGAACGCGCAGGAGTGTTCGACGGCTGTCGTCTGCTCAATGCACTAACCGCTGGACACGAATGCATGCGAAACGCCGGCACATGAGCCCCGCAGCGTGTTGCAATTCACAGGGAAAAAAGGAAAAAAAAAAAAGATAGCTCACATTCTCTTATTTCGTCTCATTATTTATCTAAAGATTTATTAATCTCTTCAAGCAACAAATACATAATCGTGCATTGCGTGTTAAATAACTTTCGTCATGTCACATGCCACTGTTGGCAACGCCAGATCATAATCCTCTACGTAGAAGACCGTCACTGCTTTGCCGTGTACAAAGGGCCATTCATACGTGCACGTCATGCCCTCATTCTCTAGGCGCGCGCCCGCAAAAGGAAGGGGGAGCAGCGTTCATCTTGAAATCTGACCAATTTCTGCAGCACGTAGCGTTGCAAATTTTGGCAAACGTGATCGTGAACTCCTAACTTCGCATTGCGCTTGTGAGCTCAAAATTGTCAAACCTGGTGAGTGGCCCTTTAAACAATCTTATATGCAACTTGTACTGGAAAGTTGATAGCTTGAAAAGTGTTTGACTGCCCCTGTTTGGCTGCATTAATCAAGGATGTCATTTTCAGTGCTGTTTTTTGTGCTCTGAAATGCGGTGATATTTCCAAAACCATTGCAACCCGGTATACCTGCACTGTGCAATGGTCTGTAAATGCCACCATGAGTCGAGACTTTCAGTACATCTTGCAGATGTATGCAATGATTGGAAGCAACCATTGATGTCATTGAGGGTGTGAAAAGGAACTTTTTCTGTTACTATGCTTGAGTTTTTAAGAAAGGCTAGTGTAGTTACAGTGCACAAATTTATATAACATTCCTTCTGCATTAATCTGTGTTCAATATTACGCATGCTCCTGTACCGATAGAGGCTGTAAAAAATGTTGCGAGGGCTCTTTAGTAATACACAACTCATATCCAACAGTTGCTTTGTTGATGTGATGAAAATATGCATTGAAACTCAATTGAGCACTGTTTCTTACTGCTGGCCTGAACTTATGCTAGCTAAATATGCTAAAACACCCAGTAACAGAATTGCTGGCTGAGCTAATCTTTCTGTGAACTTCATGTCTATCAGTACGTTTGAGGGCTTCATCAGGGGAGTTTGTACATCTAGGTACATGTGCCTGTATAGAGCAGCTCTTTAGTGCTTCAGAATATTCTGACATTTAATTTTTTTTCTTTTAGTGACATCGATGTGGTGGTTCTTGGCAAGTGGGAAACATTGCCTATGTGGACACTAGAGAAGGCTTTGCTAAGTCATGGAATAGCTGAACCGCAGTCTATTAAGGTCCTGGACAAGGCCTCTGTAAGTTTTTTTTGTCTTAATCTCAAAAATGTGTTAGTTGTGTTTTGGGAGTGCTGTGTGGATAGTTGCTTTTCACGCTTGCTGCTAATTTTTTAACACTGTCAATATAATGTAGAATATTTCAACAAATGCAAGATATATTAGTGCACTAAGTGGCAATGGTAGTAGTCCTTGCCACTGCAGATGTATATAAGAGGAATGACACTAAGGTACCTAGTCTTATCCCAAGGAAACATGAGAGGAGTTTGTTTGTCTTTTGTGAAGTGGGCTCTGTGCATCAATAGTCGAAACAAGATTGATCTTAATTTTAAGCGTATATTGTAGAGTGTGTTGGTATTACCACAGGGTTCTTTAATACTTTTCTTTTGATCACTAACGTTTTGCCGAAGTTTCATATAGACATTAGACTACATCTGTAAAGTTTCGCAGGCATGTAGCTACACCTCTTGTAGCAGTGTTGTGTAGTACAAAGTTACTCCCTTGAGAATTAGCTATGCAACCAGGTGTAAGTAGCAAATTCCAAACAACTAAGCTAAATATTGCATGCATTTGTGCACTAACACTTCGAAAAAGAGCTGCAAATTTCTTACCGCTAGTCGGACACACCACCAAACCGCCATGAAGTGCTTTCTGAATGACTCGCGAAAACAAGGAGACTCACCAGCACTGTGTGCTACGGAGAAGCGCCTCAGTCAACTCTGCTGTTGCATCGAGAATTGCCATGAACATGAAGGACTGAACAATAATGCCATGACCATGAAGGACTGAACAATAATGTTCAGTTTTATAGATTTCTGTAGCTGTCACACGAAGGAGAACGATTACAGCGCTGAATACAAGCTGGTTGAGAATGTTTTCAGTAAGCGAATTACTTGTGTTATTTACAGCATGAGAAAGTGTGGTAATGTGGGCCTCCTGTTAATGTTTTGAGTAGCCTTGACAGAGAATCATGGTAACTGTGTGCTGCAGTGTGCTGCATGTAACAGTAAATGCTGACTTAGGGACACGCACGATAAACACCACGCACACAGTGCCTTCACTGAATTTGTGCATGTACTTTGTTTCTTGTCTCCTTGGAATGGCAAGCAGTTCGGCATGCAACGTTTGTGCCTCCGAGGAGACATTTGAGCACATTCTATACCACTGCCCAGCATACCAATCTGAACGATGTATTATGGAAGTCAAGTTCAGTCAGCTGGAGTAACGACCACTTACAGAAAAGAAGATCCTGGAACCTTGACTGTTTCATTTACGCGCACAGCCACGAAATCTCTCTTGTGCTTTTTAAGGACCACCAGACTTCACGAGCTCTTGTGAAAGAACTGCGTGAGACCGTACCATGTAGTCTTGAGCAGACTATTTATCCATCTCTTTCCTACTCTTCTTTCCTCTCCATTTCTTTCGTTTCTATTATTCCCTCTTTCTCCCACTCCAAGTGTAGGGTAGCCAACCGAGCGAAGCTTGGTTAACCTCCCTGCCTTTCCTCTCTCTCATCGCTTTGGCAGTATGTGCATACCCAGATTTAAGGCATTAACTCGCTATTGAACAAGTGTCGGAAATGCTTGCCTTGAACTCGTTGTCAGCGATGCTCGCTTGTACTTGTGAGTTGCAGCACACCGAAGTAACTAAACATCTTTGGCATCGTAGCTGCAGTTCACTTTGATAAGCTTCCTACTTGCTTGGATAGATGAAAAAAGCTTTTTAGGTTGTTAATTTTCAGGAAAACTCCCCTCGCCACCGACGAAAGAGGATTCTATTGTGGCTTATGCACACTCGCCTGCGGACAGTGATCTTTGCACTATCCAGTTATAGACAGGGTGGTGATGAGACAGCTGGTAGTGGTATTTTTCGCAGCACTGCCTGAGCAGAGTCCGATGCCTATAACATACGGGGACAAAAGCATTCATGAGAGATACTGTTGCAAGTAGGTGACCAATATGCTGTGTTTGGAAGAGCAGTCGTGCATAAGCTAGACCTAAAGTGCAAACCACTGGCACGCGTATGTACGCGCCTATGCGTCAAAAGCGTCTAGTCGCGCCTGTGGAGGAAAAGGGCGTGCAACCACTGGCACGCGTCAACCGCGTTGACGCCTACGCGTCAAAGTCTGATGCACGATGTTGCTTGATCTCTTGGCTTAGAACTGTCTAAGTTCAGCACAAAATCGCACATTCTTCACTGGAGCGGGTTTGTATGTTTTAGAGGATATGAGAACACGTTGAAAAATTGATAGTGCTTCACTCACCACAGTTTAGACTATTTTAGAGGTAATTGACATTCCAGTGCCCAAAGTAACTACAGCGGTGTGCACCAGAAATCAACATCGGTGCGTGCGCTGCTCCCGCGAATGAACATTCGCGCCTAGCATACTGTATGTCTATCATTGACGTGTGCAGGGTTCTCCTTAAAGATGGGGGGGAGGGGAGGGGGCAAAAGTTTGTCGCAGTGCCCCCTCCCCCTTCCTAATATGTCCATGCAGGGGCTGACTTAGCACCCCGTTCCTATTATGGTAATACATGGAGTTGACATTGAGCTCCCCCCCCCCCCCCCCCTCCTCTCTTCGGTGAATGAGGCGGCGGCTGCCCTCCTAATCAGGTTGACAAACCACTGGGTTTCTATACCTTCTCTACCAAATATATTAACAATATCGTAAATATGCTGGTACCTTCAGTATATTTACACTTCATATTTTATAACACTCAACTTAATAATCACGCCTGAAACTTCATGATCTGACAGATTTAAGTCGGTCATAAGACTACAATTGAGGCCAGAGTAGCAGGCTTTCGGCTGATGTGTGTGTTCAAAATATCCTCTAATGCAAGAAAGCACACCTAGTTCTTATTGATACAACAGATATTGGTCATAAGATAAGAACCAAATAGTGAGTAGAATGCCTTCGGGAATTTACATAGTCGAAATGTGCTCTAATGCAACTGTGCCTGACACTTCATAATGTGACAGATATTGGTCATAATATTGCAACTGAACCCTGTATGGAAGACTTCTGGACATTGTCTTTCGTCAAAGTATTCTATAAAACGACAAACGACACCCAACTGTTTATAAAGTCACAGATATCTGTCATAATATTGGAACTGAACCCTGTATGGAATACTTCTGGACGTTGTTTTTACTCAATGTATTCTCTAAAGCAACGAACCACACCCAACTGTTCATGAGGTCACAGATTTGGTCATAATATTGGAACTGAACCCTATATTGAATACTTCTGGACATTGTCTTTAGTCAAAGTATTCTCTAAAGTGACAAACCGCACCCAACTGCTCATGAAGTCACAGATATCGGTCGTAATATTGGAACTGAACCCTGTATAGCAGGCTTTTGAACGTTGCCTGCAGCCGAAATGTTCTCAAATGCAACAACCCACACCCTACTCTTTATGATGTGACGGATTTAGGTCATGAGGCTGTAATTGTGCCCTGTGCGGAGGGCTTTTGAATGATAAGCGTATTGGAAATATCCTCTATTGCAAGGAACCGCACCTGCTCCTAATGATACAAGAGATACTGGTCATAAGAATAGAACCAAGCACTACGTAGAATGCCTCTGGGCATTTTTGTAGTCAAAATATGCTCTAACGCAACTAACTGTACCTGAAACTTTCATGATAAGACAGATCTTGGTCATAGGTCTACAACTGAACCCTGTATTCACACCGGGTTCTTTTTGATACAACAGATATTGGTCATAAGATGGGAACCAAATACTAGGTAGAATGCCTTCGAGCATTTTCCATAGTCGAAATGTGCTCTAATGCAACTAACTGTACCTGACACTTCATTATGTGACGGATATTGGTCATAATATTGCAACTGAACCTTGCATGGAAGACTTCTGGACGTTGTCTTTAGTCAAATTATTCTCTAAAATGACAAGCCGCACCCAACTGTTCATAAAGTCACCGATATCCGTCATAATATTGGAACTGAACGTTGTATAGAATGCTTTTGAACGTTGTCTGCAGCCGAAATGTTCTCCAATGCAACAACCCACACCCTACTCTTCATGATGTGACGGATTTAGGTCATGGGGCTATAATTGTGCCCTGTGCGGAGGGCTTTTGAATGATAAGCATATTGGAAATATCCTCTAATGCAAGAAACTGCATCTGGCTCTTAATGATACAACAGATACTGGTCATAAGAATGGAACCAAGCACTATGTAGAATGCCTCTGGGCATTTTTTGTAGTCAAAATATGCTCTAATGCAACTAACTGTACTTTAAACATTCATGATAAGACAGATATTGGCCATAGGACTGCAACTGAACCCTGTATGGAAGACTTCTGGACGTTGTCTGTAGTTAAAGTATTCTCTAAAACGACAAACCGCACCTAGCTCTTCATGAAGGCACAGATATCGGTCATAATACTGGAACTGAACCCTTCATGGAAGGCAGCCAAAATGTTCTCCAATGCAATGAAACACACCCGCAACATCATGATGCAATAGATATTAGTGATCAGATTGGAACCGAGCTCAGCGTGGAACACTTCCAGATGGTATATTTATTTTCAAATATGGCAGCCCAATGTGAGGCTACTGCAGAAGTGGCGTACATATATACAAAATGAAATGATTTAAACAGTAATATCACAATAAGTGTGCCAACGTGAACAAATATTACCACCCTTCAGTGCACCCCAGTAAGAAATGAGAGAAATAGAACATTATTATAATACAAGTGCCTCCAAAAAGTCGGACACTCTGGTATGACGAACCAAAGCAAGTAGATCAATCAAGTGTTTGATAACTTTATTTTAACATGTTAGAGAGCACTACAAATGACTTCTAAGCTGGATGGTGACTGCAGATCAGTGCTGTGTTGAAGGCTTCAGCACTTAGCTAGTAGTTTAAATATCCTTTAACATCTACAAAATGCATCTGACACTTATTGATGAGACAGACATTGGTTTTGAGATTACAGCCAAGCACTGTGGCTTTCACATGTCATCAATTGTCAAAATACCCTATAATGCAATAAAGCATGCCCAAAATTTTTGATGGGAAAGATACCGATCATAGGATTGCACCAGAGCACCGTACAGAAGTTTTGGCAAGTTTTTTAACAGAGCTAAACTGGATATGCTTAAGTGCATGCATATATATAATCCAAGTTAATGCATATATTAAAAAAAAACTGAACATAAATGAAGCACTCTTTGGAAACACATACAAATATTCAATGTTCGAAACCATCGAATAATATCTTCAGCTCATTACAGTTTGGAGGAACCGATGAATACATGCACAGTTCTGAAAGGTCTCATAAGTCACATGAGGTACTTGTTGCATTTCTTCTATACAAAGTGCAGTACCATAATAGTGCATCTTCATTCATTCTGTGCATACATGTGGTAATCTTCTCTTCCTACTATCGTGTCATCGTGCAGCTCATTTCAAATCTAGTACTTCTTGCAAGGTTTTCAGTTACCGTATTTACTACCGCGCCCTCGATTGTAACGCGCACCCGATTTCCACGACCCATTTTTCTCGCTGGCCCGCTTGATCAGACCCCTTGAAAAAACGACTCCTTTCGGGAGCGTCTTCCATTTAAATATGAGGTACGGGGGAAGCTTGTGCCCATCTGACGTGTAACAGAGCATTGCCGTCACTGTAGTTTTACCGTGGACCGATGTCAGCACGCGAACTTGCTTCGTCCCCTTATTCTCGACGGTTGTGGTGCCAGGCATGTCTAAGTAAAGAGGCGTCTGATCGGCATTCCCGATTTGCCTAAGCAGGTAGCCGTTGTTGTGCCGCAAGTTTAGGACGAACCTCTGAAAACTGTGAAGCTTTTCATCGTACTCCTCCGCAAAACTTTTCGCATATGCCCGTTCGCCTTTGGAGGGAAAAGCCTTTCCTCTTCATAAAGTTAGTTAGCCAGCACCTGCTCGCTTTAAACTGGCTCCGCATTAGACCTTTTTCTAAGACTAATTGCACAGCCCGCACTTAAAGCAGTTCTGTCGTCACGGGCCGCTGTGCCGCTCGCTGCTCAAGCACATACTCGCCGAGCAGCTCTTTAATTTGCGGAAACCGACCCTGCTGTGGTCCACTGAAGCCTTTGCGTGAAGCTTTGCTGTCGACAATCTTCTGCTTTTGTTTCGGCCAGTCCCGCGCGCACGTTTCGGGAACTCCGAACGACCGCGATGCGGCCCAATTTTCGTCTGTTTCTGCACACGCGATGACTTTCTTTTTAAAAGCAGCATCGTGGTGCACTCGAGTTTTTGGAGTCAACCCTTCCATGCCGTCGATGCTAATGCACTACAAGATGACAAACTCCTCAGCACACGTACGAAGCGCCACACATGGGAAACACATAGGCAGAAATGGCCGACACGCCATGCCGACACACATACGGGGCGGCCATTTTGGAAATGCCGATGGCAATAGAATGACCGTATTCATTTTTTTTTTTTCCGTACTCGATTCTAACATGCATGCGATATATGAACTCGCTTAACCGGAAAAAAAGGCGCACGTTAGATTCGAGTAATTACGGTATCTGTCCAGCTTTAAACAAAACGCGCGTTATATTATAGTAAACTGTAAAACGACGGAGAAGCGCCATTGTATGCCTATAGCTATGAGTATCGGAATGAACTAGAAATTAAGAATGCGTGTGTTAGAATGCCTCCAAACATGTGCTACTGAGCGTTGCGGAGAAGCAGAAGTGAAAAGTGAAATAGCAGGCAATACCAGCAGCGCTTGATCATGCAACTTTCTTTTTCGATCACCACAGCAACGCACGCTCGTGTTGCTGTCTTGTACATGAATGGAAATGAGACCGCTGACAGCTGAATGTGTCGGCCTTGGTGGTACCAGACACGAAGTCGCCTCACACTGCTATCAACCAGCGCACGCTTGTTATTAGCTTGGCAACGCACGAAAACAATTTGCACCGAAACCAACGTATGTTCCAGTGTCGTACAATCCGCGAATACACTTCTATAAGTACATACGTTTTCACATCAACGAAATGTGTTGGCTAGTGCGAGGTTCACTTTCTGCGATGATGAATACCGATGTTGAAAACAAACACAGTGCAGATAAAAAGTCCTCCGTATGAACTACGCGATGTTTCGGGTGTCGTATATGGTATCTATGTTGCGACGGAAACTACCGTGGAGTTTTTTCAGCCGATGTTCCTCGCATGTGCTGGTTCATACGAACTAGACGGTAGAGGCCTGCGCTGGATGCAGATGACACCGCTCTGAATTGCCTCCGCTGTAGGCGAGGGCTCATGCTCAAACCTTCGAACCTCAGAAGTCTGTTTACACTCGTTTTTAGCACAGAAAATCACAGATCAAAGCACAAGAGCATTGACATGCTCCCTTCGCTCGGCCGACGATCGCACTCGGGACCGGCGTAAGCATAGCCGGCCAGCATTCGCTGGATTTGTCGGCGTTACTCGAACTCTGCACGAAACCGCGCCACGCTGGTAGCACTCGCAGTCATTCGTCGTGTCGTTGCCGTTCTAGATTACGAAGCGGTCATTCAGGAACGTTTGGAGTAGTTTCCGTGCTTGCTTCCAGCACACGGCCGTGTCTTTGAAGCGGCGGCCATTAGGCGTAACGTTCCGGGGCATCGCGGCCCCTGGTTGGTTGGCGCCGCTGTACGCGTGGCAAAAATATCAAGCCCGGCTTGATCTCTCTCGCGCCTCCTCGCGCATGCCCCGCCGACGCCGAGAGGCGCATTTGACGCTTTTGACGTGTAGACGCGAGCATACGCGTGCCATTAGTTAGCACTTTAGATTCTCATCAGATGCTGGCAACAACGTGAGGTACAAAAAACAGAAAAACCTGCGGGACATCAGTTAAAATTATATTGATCATAAGTGGGGTTTCAGCCAGCCTGTAAGCCAGATATTCTACTACAATGCCATGCCTGTGTTTGAAACAGTTTTAGGAGAATGCCCTATGTAGTCATATTGTGCTAGGAGCACAACTGCCGTAATTTGGCGGGGCTGGAGCATAAGATTGCGCCAGGGTTCTCAGGATATTGTCACGATTGAGGAGTGGAAAGCTGCCAATATTACAAACAGCTGAACCATAACTCGTGCCACATGGCCTAATGCCACATGGCCACATGTAATGCCACATGGCCTAATGTCACATGACCACTGATGCACCTCATAAAAATAGAGGAAAAAAGTATAAGGAAAAAAATGGAGCAAATTCAAGGAAGGGTTCAAAGAAGGGGAAAGTAAAAAGGCTTCCGGCCTGATGTCTATTAAGAAGCATATAATGTTTAGGGGAATTTTTATTCACTGTGTTTAACCAACCGTAGCCGTGATGAGTGTTGACAATGTAATATACGCTGCAAGTCGCTTGCTAGCTCAAGTCATTAATCATTAGAAATGGTTCATCTATGACTGTCAAGTAATGCAATTTCTCTTGTACGATTAAACCTGCTTATAACGAACCTCCACATAAGGAAATCCTCGATATAATAGTTTTCAAATTTCCCGCTGTTACCCCAGAGAAGCACATGTATTTGCGACCTCTATGTAACAAAGTAACAGTTGGGGACATCCTTTATGTAACGAATTTTCGCCATGGACAATCTTGGAATTTTTTCTCGGATTTTGTCATTTTTGCACGTGCATGCATCTTTCGCGGTTGCCCATGTACTTAGATTTAGGTGCACGTTGAAGAATCCCAGGTTGTCGAAATTTTCGAAGCCCTCCACTACAGCGTCTTATTCATATTGTGGTTTTGTAACGTGAATCCCAGATATATTAATTCCCAGAAGTAAAGTATTGAGCACCCTGTTATTGCAAAGCACTAGTTAATCTCTGTTTGTTATGTGTAAATATAAATCCCCTAAAATCTGTTTATGTGTAAATATAGAAGCTGCTAGTTATGCTGGAGGTTCTTGTATTTTTGGTTGGAATACACATTCGTACTTCAAATGTTCTAGGTTCCTATAGTGAAGCTGACTGATGCGAAAACGACTGTCAAGGTTGACATCAGCTTCAACATGAACAATGGAGTCAAAAGTGCCCGCCTCATTCAGGTAATTCTTGGTAACTTTTAAAGCATGTATAACATCTTATGTGGCACGTCTTCCGATATGCAGGCATCGTTCAAGGGCAGATTATTAACAGTATGTTACGGGGAAGATGTTGAAGCCAGGTGTGAAATATTTGTTTCTAGAGCTTGTAATTTGCTAAAATTTCTTTTGTGAAACTACTGTCTGTCATCTGAATCATTTTGAAAATGTCTTACTGCAGTGCCTGTGTTCTTGTGCATTTACCTTAATTTAATGGTAAGTAGGGCACTGTTGTTCATAATATTGTCGTATTAGATGTCATGCATTGAGCTTCCACTCTGACGGAAATTGTTATTTCACTTTAGTGTCCCTTTAAGCCAGGATTGCTTTTCCTTTTTCTGAGAGGAAAACGCTCAAAGCATCCACATCGTTTCAGGGTGCTGAAGCTTGAGGCCATGTAATCTCTGGCACTGTCCCGTTGTGGGGCATTAGTTTCTTATGGTATGTAGGCAGGCATTTCATACTGATGCAAAATCATTCTGAATGCCGCTAGCATAAATTTTACAATGCGTTAGAGTATTTGCGATTTAATTTCAGCATTACCATACGCGAAAAAAAGAACAAATCACTGTAAAAAGTAGCAAACAAACCTTCTGCTGTCAGGGGTCCTTTAAGTGACTAGTAAATAAGACGCGACTCTATTCAACGCCGTCGCCCATCATCCTCTCCCTTTGTGTATGTCTTGGTAGTTTACAGTGCGACACATTGCCGAGGCAGTGGCAGGCTCCTATCACCACAGGTATATTCATTGTGTGGCCTGTCACCATTTCATGTAAGATTGCTGACTAAACGTAGGTGTTGTATTACAGTATGAGAAGTCTGCCTATAAATATTTACTTAATTTTTGTACTAAAATTCCGTAAAAATGGCAAAATAAGAAACCTTAAAGATCTGATGTTGCACATTATGTATTTGGAACTGATCACGAGTTCAGAAAGGGTCTTTCTTTTATAAAGTCGTACACCTGCTAAACAAGTGTAGGTACAAAATAAATTTAATTTGCACATAGTTTTTTTGGCATCTTCAAAGCATTTGTGCTATCTTTTCTTGTGGTAGCATGGGGATGCTATTCAGGACTGCTATTGCTGTGCTGAGGAAGATGCTAGTGCATTTTGTTTGCTGGCTGGTTGTCTCTTGATATATTTTTAATTCATTGCAGCTACATTGAATGCATAGTTGCTGGCAGAACCTGATATAGGGGTTCTTGTGGCCATTAGTATATTGATCTGCCTTCAACTTGTGACTGTGTGTGAATTTAAAGTGCTTGCAAAATTTTCAGCTGCACTTGCAGTTGTATAACATTTCTCTGTGTCATAATTTGTTTTAGTAGAAAATGTGGAAAGAAAGCTTGATAAAAACATCCCCCATTCCCTTCTTCCTTAGCTTCAACACGTCTCAGTCGTGGCCGCTGGATGAAAAAGCGCTCCAGCGGCAGTGTCTTAGTGAATGATCTTAATACGTCTAAGTTTAGTGAATTTCGACGGATGTCATGCTTTCAACACATACAAAGTTGTAGAGTTTCAAGTATTTGGTGTTTCTCCTTGAATGATATTAAAAACATTACTCTTTTTTTCTGCTATATTTGGTGTTAAGATAGGGATTTTCTTACCAATGCAGTCATTCAAGGAGCAGTTCCCTGCACTTCCCAAGCTGGTGCTGGTGCTGAAGCAGTTTCTGCTACAACGAGACTTGAATGAAGTGTTCACTGGTGGTATCAGCTCCTACTCTCTGATCCTTATGACTGTGAGCTTTCTACAATTGCACCCTCGAGGTGGGGATGCCCCATCTCCAAATCTTGGTACATTGTTGCTGGAGTTTTTTGACTTGTATGGAAAACACTTCAACTATTTTGTGACTGGAATTCGCATCAAGGATGGTGGTGCATATATACGGAAAGAAGAGATGCTGCGCGATGCAGCGGACTCGTACCGCCCATCGATTCTCTGCATAGAGGACCCTCTCACCCCAGGTGACATCACTTTTCTTTTTTTCATAACTGTGCTAATAGCGCTCACATATGTGAACCAGCCACTTCAATCCGTTCCTAAAGCCTGCATAAATTAAACAGAATATTGTGTGCTCACATATAAGGATTCAGTGTTCTGTATTCAGGCTTGTTTTTAAAGTTATTTGTTTTATTTCTTATATTTGTGTTCAAGTATTATTCTTCTCTGTAGTGACAGAGGTGATCATGTTTTATTGGAAGTGTCAATGGGGATGCTATATGAGGGAGAAAATACTGTTTTTCAGCAACAAATGCTTGCGATCATTGCATTCGAACTTGTTGGATTAACATTTACTTGCGAATTGTGGCAGCCTTATGAAGGCGATTCTCCTAGTGATAACATCAACCGTTTTTCATCGTGAAAAATTCACAAGCATTTTACAAGATTTTTTTCAGATTCCGTTGATTGGGATTAAATCTGCTACATTTTGTGCATTTTGGTGTTCATATTCTTCACATTTTATGCAGCTTTTCATTTTTATTAGCGAATAGAGAATTGTTAAACACTCAAGCTTTGGTAAAAATTTTTTGCTTGAGCTTCCGTGAGCAGTTTTTGTGTGGGCCTTTAACTTAACAAGCTGCTTGTAATTGGAGACAAAAATAGGCATTTTTAGACCCTTAAAATTGCTCTTTGGGGAGCACTTTGGTGTAGGTCGCATAAATTTGTACAATTTTAAGTATAGAAACACAAATAAAAAACATATAAGCAGGATGCAGTCATTGTTTTGTATGAAGCAAAGTTTATTCATTTCAGCCATTCTGTTTCTGTGACAGTGTCTCATCAGGCCCTTTTGTGCAGGAACTGTAACGATATCGGAAATTGTATCTGCTCTGCATATCCAATTTCTAAGATTGTTTATTAGTGATAAGCAATGGTGAGATTGCAACCATCAGAATAATTATTGAAAGTGGAAACCTGTGTCCTACTTTGCAGAGCTATTTTGTCATGCGAAAATTGGGCTCGTTAATACTTAGTAATCATAGCCACAAGTGTGACAATTTGACCCACATTAGTCAAATTGTGGAACAACTAATGTTAGAACAATGTTAATGAGAACTAATAGACAATAATAATTGTCTGTTTTTATTAATATTGTGTCTAATAGAGAAAATTGAGCCCTTAATTTACTTCTTTCCATCAGTGTTAGAATTTGGTTCCAGCCTAAATATTTTAATTCAAAGACCTGCTCTTTAGAAACTCAGTGGCATTGCAGCCTGTCTGAAGTGCATGAAAGAAAGCTTGTAATGCAACGATTGACCTCATCCTTAAAGGAGTTGATCTAGCTTCAAAAAGTCCGGTCTCTAAAATCTTTCATACGATTCTAATCATGCTTATATCATTCAATTTAACATAGATCGCTTTATATTCAGGATTTACATGTCTATGCTATCTGGCATGAGCAGTAGACAGAATGCTATTGTTTGTTGTGCGTAATGCATTTTTATTCATAAATTCTAAAACTGTCTGGTGCTTCATGCTATATCAGCAATACGATACAATACCACAATGCATTTCTGTCAACCGTTTCTATTAATTAAAATGGGAAGTAGGCAAAATTGACGCATTTTACACTGCTCTAAAATATTCTTATTAATGAGGGCTGTTTCAAAACTTTGAAACACTGAAGTTGGCTTTAGCTAATCCATAGGCAGTTTTGAGTATCAACATGTCTATTCTATTCAGGGGTGGAACAGCTGCATTATTTGCACCATTGTGTGCTGCCATTTGGGGGCCGCCATTTTCATGCAACACGAAACCAACTTTCGTTTAAAAGTTTGCGCGTGGCAGCCCCTCGGCAGGCGATTGTTCTTTAAACAAAGAAAAGCAAGAGTGGAAAGCTACTCGTCCCAGCTTGCGCTATATGGCACTACATGTCCATAGAACGTGTATTTTATTTCTTGCAGGAGATTTAAAACTATAGGACTTCCATGTCTGTCCTATGGCCTATGGGTCTGTAGCAAAAAAGTTACAGTAGATTTTCTCAAACATGCTTGAGAATTCTAAGTCTGTAAATCTGAGTTGGCTGTTGACTAAATTTTCCTTTTAATTTCAGATTTGTTTCTAATTATAGCTACCAATTTTGTAGTTCCCATCTACAGTTGTCAACCTAGATATAAAATGCAGCCTAGCTTCATTTTATTGTCCACTGTGGCAGCTGAAATGCAAAAATGTTGTTAAATTAGACTTGGGTGATGGCAAAGAACCTGGGTGGTCAAAATCAGTCTGGAGTACCCCACTACAATTCATGTCATAATCTTTTTGTTGTGTGAAGTCCCAGTATTGTTCTTTCATTGCACATACAAGTCCAATGTTTTCTCGAGGCATTTCATTTTGCTTAAAAATACTACTTCCACTTTATTTGCATGTTTTAAAGCAAGAAATAGAAGCAAAATATATGTAGGAATCCTAATATCATGCTTTGTCACAATGCACTAAGTGAATGTGCAACGAATGTACATTCACTTACTACCATCATTGTCCGACATGCACACTATTAAAGTCTAAACAAGTTTCCACATTCCACATAAATGAAGACAGTAAGTTCTAAACTGTTTGTTTTGATTTTTTTTTCTTTTAGGTAATGACATCGGTCGTAGCTCATATGGTGCATTGACAGTAAAGAAGGCATTCGAGTATGCTTATATGGTCCTCAATCAGGCAGTGCACTCATTTCAGCCAGCTACAAACGACCTGAAACAAAGGTAGGTGTATAAATTGCAATTTGGATCCTAGGAGTGATATAGATTTACTTGAAAGGCAATAAGGAGAAGATAGGAGCTTGTCATGAGAAATTTGAAAATAGGGTAGGTGCTGGAGCTCATGTTTCGACAAGTGGACTTGCCTTTTTATTTTTTATAGATGATCGTAAAGTAATGCTAAAATTTCTTATATATAGTTTGTCCCCTTCAGTTTTTTGTCTAGTACATTTGCTCTTGATGCTTGGTCATATTTAGCTTTTGTATCGTCGATGCTGTAACAGTGCACAACTTATTCCGGGGATAATTCACATCTGTTGTCTTCACCATGCATGCAAAGTAATCTAGTAGTTCTCTGGCAAATATATTGACAGCTTAGTTTATGGTTTCCTGACATCACGGGAGCGGTGGTGGTTCATCTGTGCAATTTATGCAATTTTGCTGCAATTCTACCTCTGTGTGCCTCACTGTGCCCATTAACGCCTGAACTGCTTTGGATGAGCAGAGCACGTCCTGCCCTAACTGTCGCCAAACTACTTTGGACGTGTAGAACTCATTCCGACGGAACAGGTACTCCCCTCTAACGTTCAAGCAGAGAAGCGCACATTTATGGGTTAAATTGCGTGTCATTATAACATTTGCTCGAGGATTTAGTTTTGTTTTGCGGCAGGAACGCGGTTTTTGTATGGAAAGACTGCATGCAGTGGTAACGACCCATGCATAGCTGGCCCATGAACACAAAAAAGAAGCTATTCGTTTTCATTGCAATAGGATGGGAAGGTGGGCTAGTTGGTAATTTATGATCGTTCAGCGAACTGGGAGCGCGGTGGTAAACACAGACGGAAAGCAAAGAAGAGGCACGCAGCACGAGCGCTTATGCTCATCGTTTTCTTCTAGTGGTGATCATTGTGGTACAGATATTTATCTTGTGTGCGGAAGTGAAGACAATGATTACTGTGAATGAGTAACTCCTCCGTTGATGATGAAGATGGCTTGGACGCGAACACTGTGACTGCCCATCAGTAAAGCCGCTTTGCGTTAATCCGCAGTGTGTTTTCCACACAGCTCCTGAGCTCCCCAAGTGAAATTTCTCAAGGCTGCTCAGCCTACTCAAGTGAAAGGTCTGGCATCTGTAACCGTTTTGTTTATAAGGTTTTTAGTTTTGTTAGCAGCAGGTAGCTGGTTTCCTATGTATTGTTCAGAGATAAACATTATACTGGGTATTTGACTAAGTATGTGCTGAAAATATTTCTTTCAACATCGACTAGCTACTTTTTAGAACAATCAGAATCGAAATGAGCAATAAAAAAAAGCACTTTTTGACTGGAAATTCTAAAAAAAAAAAAAAGAGCACTTCAGGGGTTAAGTGCATCTTGCACAAAAGATATTTATCCTATTTAATGCAGTGCAACCCTTATGACCCAAAATATTTTGTTTGGCACCAAATACACACAGCTTCTGCATGCTGCTGCGAAACCAGCGTTCCCTCTTTTCACTGATGTCAGTTTTTTTTAACACATCACAACCACGATGCAGACCGAGAAAAAGACAGACCAACCACAGTTCTCGCTTGCTACTGAATGTTTAATCAAATTACGTAATCGAAAAGATTACTGCTACCCTCACAGCCATGTGACCACTTTAAAGCAAATGACAATTGGCTTAGATCGTGAATATGAAAATGAAATAGGAAAAAGATCATTGTGATTAGATAGTTGCTGTGATCTGAGGCGCACTAGCTTTTATGAACAGGTGATGAGGCTAAAAGACTCGTCTGCAGATATTATCCGATAAACGTTCACAAGTTGATACAGCAATTCGAGATAAACAGACTATATCTGTTCATCCTTTACTAGAGCAGAAGACTTTCAGTGATACTTCCCTATATACATAGCGCTATCACTGTGCCAAACTGCACCAAAGTGTCCTGGCTACAGCATCCCCTGGTATTTTCTCAAAATTTGTCTAGTTTGATTTATGCCTGTGCCAAACGGTGTTTTCTGACTTGCAGAAACAAAACTAACTACTCCAACCTCGTTGTAACTTCATGGGATATAACAAAATAAGGGATATAACGAAGTAAATGAAATTTCCTTGAAAGCTCCATTGAGAATCATGCATTTTAAGCTTCGTTGTAACGAAGTAAAATTGACTGGTAAATGAATATAACAAACTAAATTAGTCTATCAAATAGTCAATAAAAAAAACCGACCCTAGTGTGTTAAGTATATCGTTTTCTGCGGAGTTTGACGCTTGTTCGGCGCGGCTCTTTTAAAACTCCCGCGCCAACCTTACAGCCACGCCGCACGTGGCCGAGAGAGCCGTCCTCCTCGCACAGCTAGCAGAGAGGATTGAGGAAGTGCTCAGCGGGTCACGTGACCGAGAAGCAGAGCTGCGGTGCAAAGCGATTTCCCTTTCATGACGGCAACAACTGCGTCTCCACTGCTACCATAGGTGCTACCCTCTGCTCCGAGAAAGGAGGACTCTCCGCGCGACAGCTTTTTTTTTTCCTCTCTCTCTGCGCGCGGCCTTAAAAGAAGGGTCTCTACATGCAGAGATGGAAAAGGGAGAAGTGTGGCATAGGCGTGTCGCAGACCAGCATTTGAGAGAGTCTTCTCTTTTCTTCTTTTCCTTCACGCGCAGCGTTGAGAGGTGCCATCGCGGGATTAGGCATGGTGCTGAGAGCATTTTTGGAGCGCGGTATGCTCAAATTAACCGTCGCAAGTGCTTGCGCGTTCGAATTGCTGGGCGTTTTCGCTCATTGGAATACACATGGCTTTGACAGAAGCTCAGCGTTAGTCCGAATTACCTGAAAGTCCGAATTAATGAGATTTGACTGAGTTTATTTTGCGTGGCACGCGTGGTCGCGTAGCGGTACATAGGGCCACGAGGCGGTTTCCTTCTTTGCATGCCTTTGTGAGCCCATCTGAGCATACATTAGCACAAACTGTTATAAACGATATAACGTAATAACGGATATAACGAAATAATTGTGGCTCCCCTTCAACTTCGTTATAACAAAGTTTGAGTGTACCTACGATTCCTTTATTAAAAGTAACATCGTGGTTGACCCTGCGTACAATGCAATACAAGCCAAGTTAAAATAAGCAACAGGTCATTGTTGCAATACGTTTAATGTCCGATTTCACGGACTACCTAGAGACCATGAAGTAACTTGAAAAGATGAATTCATGTTGTTTTTATCTCGCTCAACTGTTCACATCAGTACAGCCATGGCCAAAAGTTTCAGTGCAACGCATTTTGGTGCACAGCCAGTCTCTTGTAAATGCATTCGGGACTCGCCGTTGTCTAACCACCAGTTGCATATTTGCATATCTTGATAAGTGCTGCCGAAGCCAGTAAAGCGCATATTGAATTATAACTGTTACGCATGGAGTGTTGAGAGTATGTGTTCCAGACCACACATTCTCTCTCAGCCATCACGGTACAGCACATGCAAGGTACCCACTAGTGTACGCCATGACGATGATGCTCATGACAATGTAGAACAAATGTGTTCCATACCACACACTCTCCCTCGACCATCACAGCACAGTACATGCAAGGTATCTACTAGTATGCATTGTCACCACGCTCGTGACAATGAAGAACAGGTGTGTTCCATACCACACATTCTCTCGCAGCCATCACGGCAAAGCACATGCAAGACACCCACTATAGTAGGTGACAAGCTAAAAATAAAAAGTAAAGTGTACCGCTGTCCATTTCGTGTCCAACTGCGGCCGCTCGTTACTGTGACGTAACAGTCACGATAAACCAATGACAAATTCAGCATGGCGCTGTTCGTGACGAGAGGCGATGTGCTGCTGTACCAAGAGCGGCAGGCATCCATTCGTTTTTTTTTTTTTTTTTGTGGTATTTTCATCGTCAAGAAGAAACTATTTCATTCGCTCCCCTCAGCATCATCCTCGTCAGCCGTCGTTCGATGCTGGCGTTTGATTTCGCAGCATTTCAAGTGCACCGAAGCAGCAGAGCTTCATCGCGTTCCCTTGGGTCGGCAGCGTGAAGCAGCAATACGGCATCTATTCTCTGCCCACTCTCGACAGTTGTTGTCGTGGTCATTCGTGTGCAATAAGGTGAAGCTGAAGTCTGAATGTGCGCGCCTGTATTTTGTGGAATGTGTGCGTCTGTGATTTACTGCCTGTAACGTATGCAATGATCCCCAGTGTTAAGCACAATGCGCAATACGCGCTTTTATTTCGATTAAACAAGACGTCGAATGAAACATTGGCGTTTACCTGAAACACGATGACAAGCATAGCGACGCGAGACATACGTTCAGTATTTACGGCAGCACAAGAATAAAAATTCACGGAGTCAATCTCGGGTCACTTCTCCATTTTTCACTTTAAGTCATAGTTGTCATAGTTTCAGAAGATTGCGAAGAAACTTGGCAAAGAATGTTTCATAAAATGAAATCGCAAACAACGAAATGTGATTAATGCCCCTGTTTCGTTTTGGGAAACCACGAAAAAACACTTTTTTAACTTTAAATATTGTATTTAATGTGGCATTGTTTAGTACAATCATATAGGTACCACGCCGAAATATCGCCTTCGAGAGGTGTACATTGCTTCTTGGTGGACTCCGAGCGCGGGGGGGGGGGGGGATGCAATTCAAATAAAGTAGATTGTCAAGCTGAAGCGAAAGTCTGTGCCTTCTCAAGTTTATCGAGCTTCGGTTTCTTTATTTCAATACCAATCAAGCATTGTGAGGTAATGGTGTATGCGTGAAAATTATAGTCGTCGGAGAACTACTCACTTTCTTTGTAGCGTGGAGGCATGGAAAATAAGGGCAATGAGGTCTCGTGAGTGGAACTAATATTTATTCTTAGATTGTCACCAACTATAGTAAACGTCATGACGATGACGCTCATGACAATCAAGAACAAGTGTGTTCCAGACCACAGATTCTCTCTCAGCCATCACGGTACAGCACATGCAAGGTACCCACTAGTATACGTCATGACAATGACGCTCATGACA